GGAGAGAGAGAGAGAGCTTGGCAGAAGAGGGAACTGGTAGAGTAAGTGGAAGCGACGCAGAAGCGGAGCGCGACCTGAAACGATCTGGTGGAAGGCAGAACTAGTCGAACCGATTGAGGACGGGGAAACTAAAGCAGAAGTAATTGCAGAGAGCCAGGGGGAGAATCTGAGGAAAATATTCAAGTAATTTAATTTTTTTTTTTCAATTTGCATTGTTTTGGGATAAAAGTAAATTATTTTTTTATAAATTTGAATGCTAGTTTTTGAAATTTTTTATAAATTTATTTTTTATTATTACATGATTAAATTTCTTGAAAAATATAATTATCGTTGCTCAATCTAATATGTCTTGCTATTTTTCTTTACTTTAATAATTTACGTGGTCTGAATCAAAAAATAAATTTGTAATTTAATTTTTAGTTTTTTTATTATTATAATTTAATAGTATTGAACTTAATTAGGTAATGAGAATTAAACAACTCATAACTTTATTTGTTATTGATGGTTTTAGAGTAATGAGAATAAAATTTCATCAATTACACATAATTGTTAAGTATTAATTGCGATTTAAACATGATTAATATAATCGAGTTAACGTGGATTAATCGAATTATTACAAATTTAATTGAATCAAATTAATTATTTTTTATGAAATGTTAGTAGTTTTTAATTGATAGATATAGAAAATATTAGAAAGGAAACCAAAAATATATTAAGATAATTCGACCATTACAAACTAGATTAAATCGTCTGTAAAATAAAAATGCGAATATACCAAAATTTAGGTGAAATCAATACTCTGATGTGTTTTTATTGATAATTTTTTGTAAATTTAATTATTGATTAAATTATTTAAAAAAATTTCTCATCATAAATTAAATTTTAATTTCTACAGTTTTAATACTTGATATGTAATTTATGTGAGATGATATTCTACTTATCACTTTATTATTTAATATCTTATATAATATAACTTTCTAAGTTCTAATTATAATGTTTTCAGCTGCATGCTTCTTTTTTTCTTTTTTTTTTTTTTTTTCTAAGCATATAATTAACTCCTTTGTAAATCTTGAATCAATAAATTGATGGATCAAAATTCCTATGCTTGAGTTAGAGATAGTAAACAGGCTGGATTGGAAGTAGGATGGGTTTTATTCAAATTTGAATATTCATTTTATGTATTTAAATTGCATCTGAATATAACCTGTGAAGAACCAGGGAGGGAGGTAGCCAGGCCGCATATGCTTCCTTCAAGGATTAACATGTATATCTCTCTCTTTTTTTTTTTTTTATTCAAACTCTGTCCTTTTCTCTCATCTTACGTTGTTTCTTTTTACTCTCTTTGTTTTCCAGTGTTAGTGTGACCGTGCCTCAGCCTGTTCGTGTGTGTGTATGTATGTATCTGTTATATATATGCATATGAGTTCAGGTTGACTGGTCGTAGTTGGCAATCAAGTTTGTGGTTCCTCGTGGATAAACTACGAAAATCCACTTACAAAAGAAAAATTACTTTTAATGCCCGCCGCAGCCACCTTTTCCACACTATTCTGCTGGCTAAACCACTCGCAGAATATCCTATTAGAATCACGAATCAGCTTGGACGATTTGACTTTTTCAACACCAGACTTTGCAGTGGTTTTTCAGCATAAGCAAACTGCCGTTAAAGATCAAAAGGCTCTTTTTTCCTTAGACAGAGAGATTATATTCAACTACATGGTTGATACAAAATATTAACTTTATTGAACACATAAAATTTGTTGTTTTGTGTGTATATTATGAGTTAGTAATAACTTAATTATAATGTTTTATATACAACCAAAAAATTATAATTAAATTGAATTAAATTTCAAAGATTTTATTATGTTTACAAGAGAATAAATATTTTATAACGATTAAATTTTTTTAATTAATAACTATAAAAAAAATTAAAAACCAAACTGAACTATTTAAAAAAAAAAAACATGACAATTATATTATAAATGATTATCATAAAAGAAAATTAACTAAATATTATACAATGATCGATTGTATGTATTTAAAAAAAAAATGATTTGTCATTATATTTTGTTCTAACCGATGCTGCAGATAATCATTAGATCTGGATATACAGTAAGTAATACGTGTTTGTAAGTGATTGACCTTTGAATTTCTTGTTTGTACTCTGTCCTCCATCCTATGTATAATTTACTTACATAAATATTACTCGAAAAGTATTTATTGGGGAAGAATTCACCACTGAAATAATAACATACAACATATAATTTGTTGACATTTAACGGATAACTTATACATTTTATTATAATTTTCATACAAAAAATTTGAAGTTAAATCCGGAATTTATTAGAATTAGAGGCGTCCGCAATCATATTTGGCATGAGCAGTTGGGTTGCGGAAGAGCAGAGCCATGAAAATCATAATAAAGATTTTCTTAATTAACGAGGAAGTATCAAGCAACGAGCCAACAAGATAGGTTTGTGTAGACAGCCAAACCAGTCTCATCCTTCTTTCTTTTATATACTCGTCCAAAGCTTCTTCAATCTTTTGTTTTGCACCAAGCTTTCCTGCCAAACACCTCGCTAACACCACTGCGTCTTCCATGGCTGCGGAGCCACCTTGACCTAAAAATGGACCCATCACGTGCATTGCATCTCCCGCCACTGTTACCGTCCCTTTCCGAAAGTTTCCCAACAGCACCTCCCATGGTGACCTATATCTCAAGCGAGTGAGCGATAATGAATTTAGATCACACCTTTTGACTATCTCTATTCTTTCTGCTGGAAATTTGTGCTCGATTAATGTTTCTATAGCCATTTTTTGTATCAGCTCCGGATCATGTGCCACTTTTGCAAGATCTATAGTCGAAACTCATAAACAAAAACATGATTCAGAGATTTTGATCGATTGTTTTTAAACATGTAGAGATTGAAATTTAACAATAATTACCGGTAGGATTCCATTTGTGAAGTAAGAACCAATAGAGTAGGTGATCGTTGAGAGGAACTCCTCCCGACATGGTGTTGCCCCTTCTAATTCTTACGCCCTCAATGGGCAATCCGTGGCGGTTTGCAAACTCTGTAAGACCTCTCACAGCCAATGAACTGAATACCTTTTTTGGCTTTAGTCCCAGAAAGTCACCTATTACTGAATTGGCCCCATCACATCCGATCAAAACCTATTTATATATACCCAGGTGTGGAATTAATTAATGTTAAATATACACATATAAGAAAATATGTTTGTGTTGTATGCGTATTACAGTATATGTGTATATATATATATATATATATACCTTGGCTCTAATGGTTGTTCCATCTTTGAGGTGAAGAATAGGGTAGGAAGACAAAGGGTCCAACTCCACTGAAACGATTTGTGAATTAAAGCGAATGGTGCCAGATGGAAGATGATTGGCGAGTGCTTTGACTAGATCACTCCGTTTCAGGCACCGTCCTTCCCCAACTCTGACAATATATGTAGTTTATGTCAAATAATATCCTCTTAAAAACATAATCTTCAACGAAAAATGAAAAGCTTATATATATATATGTACTGTATATGGGCTTGTCAACGTACGAGGTAAGCGAAAAAGTTGATTCACGCCGCTTGCCGTTGTGAAGCGATACATCCCTTACCCTGTTTTCGTATATACAATTGTGGGTGTTAAATATTGTATACCCATCTTTTCGAGAAAAAAAAAAATTGTGTATTCATAATTCATATGTTTTACAGAAAGATAAGAAAAGAGACCAAAGGTGGAGCATGATATATATATATATATATATATGCGTATCTGTATGTATATGTATATGTATATGTTTAGAGAGAGAGAGCGAGAGAGATATACCCGAGAAGTGGGACGGCAGTTGGGCGGAGATCAGAGCCAACACCAAGTTGGTCAAGAGCTCGCCACCCATTTGGGAAGACACCGATGGCAGATCCCGTCGCACGAACACATTCTGCTCTTTCCAGAATCACACTCTTTATCCCTTTCCTGCATCCCAGTTAAGTAATTATACATATTATATATATATATATATATATAGAGTTTCAATTTTTATAAAACGTTAAATATTTTTTATATATTAAAAATAATTATAAGAAACCTGTGAAGAGCCAAAGCAGTTGCCAGACCGCATATGCCACCACCTGCTATTACTATCTCAATCTCTTCCATTTCTTCCTCCTCTTTCCTTTTGCCAATTATACTTACCGATCTTTCTTTTCTTCTTTAGTAATTATCAACAAAACTGTGTACTTTGCGGAGGCGTCCTTGGGTGCATATATACATATATATATATATATATATATATATATATACGTGTGTGTGTATAAAACCAGGTTGACTTGTCGTCACCTGTCTTTGATTGTGGAGACTTTTCCCATTTCCTTGTCAAGCAAACAAAGCTTTGTTGGCCAAAGGAAAAAGCTTGAGTCCCTTCACGTAGACTATAATAAAAAAAAAAAAGAAATTGTAATAAATCCGGATCTGATGACAAAAATTAATTGTGATAAATTGATTACTCAAAATTCTTATATTTAAATCAGAGATAATAAACAGGCTGGATTGGATCCAGGATGGGTTATATTCACTTTGAACACAATTTACTTGAATTTTAATTTTACGTATTGAAATTGCATATGAATATAACACGTGGTAAGCCAAGGCAGTAGTAGTAAGGCCGCACATGCCGCCTCCGACAATTACTATCTCTATCTCTTCCATTTTTCTTTCTCCTCTTTCTTTATTCTTATTTTTTTTACTCTCTGTTTTTCAGTGCCGGTGGCGAACGTGTCTCAGTCTCTATGACAGGTTGACCGGTGTCGTTTTTCTTGGCAGTCAAGTTTGTGGGTCCCCGGAGATAAACTACAAAAATATACAAAACCGCCGATAAAATATATATAAGAAGGTATAGTTACAGAGTACTTTTAACGGCGATCTTTGGAAAATGCTGCAATTAAACCGCCACTAAGTAACATAGACCCGTAATGCTTTATTTTCAATTGAAGATTTTACTTTAATAAAACAGTAATAAAATTAAATTAAATTTTAATAAATTTATTATGTTTATGATGGTCAAATTAAAATAATATTTTATGATAATTAAATAATCACAAATTAAAAACTGAAACCAATCTATGTTTCTTGAAAATAAAAACATAAAGATTGTATTACAAATGATTTTCATAAAAGAAAACTAAGTAAATAATTTGTGAGGGTATTATAAAATGATCGATTGTACGTAATTTTAAAAAAAAATGATTATGTCATTATATTTTGTTCTACCTGATGTTGCAGATAATTGTTAGATCTGGATATACAGTAAGTAATACGTGTTTGTAAGCAATTGACTTCTTTCTCCTCTGTCCTCCGTTCTATACGTGTTTGTAAGCAATTGACTTCTTTCTCCTCTGTCCTCCATTCTATATATATAATATTATATGTGCGTGATGAGAAAACCGATGCATTTAATATTTATTTATGACTATGTTTTTATTTTCCCATTTTTACGCTTACTAATTTTCTCTTTTCTTCCTGGGTAATACTTCCAGAAGCTACTTCCTCCTAACTTTTATGATTCAATCTCAAACATTCCGATATAACCCAGATGATTAATTCAGAAAGGAGCAAAAATGAATTTGAAGAAGATGCATTTTAATATTAAGGCTTTTAAAAAATGGCTCTATAGAATGGAACACAGGTGAAATTCCAAGCACAGCAAGCGCAAAAGGAATAACTAGTAGAAATGAGATTGATGTACAATTTTAATGCATTAGAGGATTGAGTATCTTGGATCCAGGATACAGGCGCTAGTAAAGTGAATTAGATCATTCATGTTTTTTAATCAGAGGGTTGGAGCTCTTTCGGCGGATCCGGCGAGGACAGTGAGCAAGTTGTTGCCGAAGGGATCGCTGAGATGTTTGGCAAGGTTCTCCACTGGACCCTCTCCGGTAACGTAGGCTTGGAAGTAGAAACCAAGCATGGCGAACATTGCCAGTCTGCCATTTTTTATTTCCTTCACCTTGAGCAGTGCAGCCTGGTCTGGGTCCTTGGCTAATCCCAGTGGGTCAAATGGACCACCTGGGTGCAGCTTGTCCTCCAAGTCCTGGAATTTCAAACACAAAACAATCAATTAATTGATCTATCTGGGTTCAGTTGCTAATCATGAAATTAGAACACAGAAAATTATATATATATATATATATGTAATGAGATTATACATACCAAGCCATTGATGATTCTGTAGTATTCAGCACCGCCAACAAGAACGATTTCAGCAATGACCGCAACGATCAGGTTGATGGGAATGTTCTTTCCGAAGTAGTTCAATGTGTTGCCGTCAAGCAGCAAAGCTCCAGTCTGCATTATTTATTCATATCCATATGTATATAATGAATGCATGTGAACAGAGAAGAAACAAACAGCCAGTTTGATTAAATTCCCATTTCATTTCTAGTTAAGTAGCTGATATCAATCGACGTGTAAGAATTTATTAAACAATTGATTACAGCCAATTATTTTAGAACTTAAACAAAAAAAGTCTCGTGCAATTTCATATAAATTCAAATTTTAACATATAATTTCAAAAGTATTATTCTACATATATTCAACAAAAATTCTAAATTTGTTTGAAATATATAGCTCTAGTGTGGGAATTTAACCAAATTGAAAGTATTTATGTAAAGCAAAAGACTAACCTTGAACCAAACGGCTTCAGGCCCACAGTTGGCACCAAATTTGTTGAAGGCTTCCGGGATGATGAAGCCGGCTGCACCTAACATTGCCCATCTCGCGTGGATCAACTCGTATGCTTGGTATCTGCGTTCAAACCACCATTGTTTCACCAGGATGACACAGACAAAAACTAATATACATATGTATAGTGGTCTATATGTCTGCGTCTATATATGCATATGTGTGTGTGTGTGTAATATATATATATATATATATATCAGTTATAAATATTAACGTACTTGCTGAAATCTTCTGGCTTCTTGCTGAGCCCAAAAGGATCATACCCGTAACTGCATAGCCATGAAAGATTGAAAATTAGAAACAAAACCAGGATTTCATGGTTGAAACAATGAATTAGAAAGCTGTTTTGTGAGTGAACGAAAGCGTATCTTACTCTCCAGGAACTTCACCGGTCAAGTACTCGGGAATCTCCGATCTGTCCAACAGACCCTCCGGCAAGAAAATCCTTCTGTCAGGCCCTGCAACCCGACCACGAAAGATTAAATTTTGACACTCCATGAAATAGTAAAAGGAGTCGTGAGAAATGTGTACGTACCGTACCACTTGGCGAGCTCATCATTAGCCGGGGAGACGGCGGCAGGTTTGGACTTGGGCGGCGGAGCAGCCTTCTTCTTGGAGAACAGAGCAACAGTCTTGAAGGTTGCAGGGGTTGATGGAGACGGAGCAGAAGACCTTGAAGCGCCACTGAAGTTAAGAGGGTTTCCGAGCATCTCAGAGACGCCGAGGGAAGCAGCGGCTGTGGATGCCGCCAGTGACGCCATTTTGGTTCGCTGTTGAGATTGAAATGAAGAAGAAGATGGAGATGAAGATGATAATGAAGAAGAATAGAGAAGCAAAGAGAGGGAGAAGATAGTAGTATAAAAGAGCTAAGAGGTGGTGAATGCGGACATGGCAATTTGGATTGTGGCCGATGGGGTTTGGGATTGTTTGGCTGTGAAGGATCTGTAATCTGATGCTGCAATGTGATAGGCTGCGGTTGGTTACGTGGCAGATTGTGATGCTGATGTGGGATTTGTTTGGATTTCTTCTCAATCCTCATTTCGCTTGAGGGTTTGGGATTGGATAAAACAATACTACTTTTTTTTTTTTTTTTAATTGGGTTTTGTGGTTGTTATTGGCTTCAGCTTTCAGACAGAAGGAAACAGGAGAGAGATGAAATAATTAGGAAGAATTAGAGGAGTTAGGCCATGGGTGAATCCTTCCAACCTATCAAATTATGTCTTAGAGTGAAATTAAATACAAGATTATGAATGAAACGTTGCTATTATTTCCAACATTTTATATCAATTTACCTGTAAAAAATCACTGTGGAGGCATAATATTTATCAAGGCATCAGAGAATTTCCCCTATCAGCTTTAGTTTAATGTAGAAGTAACAAAAGGAAGGAAAAAGCAAAACATGTATAACTTGGAGAAATGCCATGTATCAACAGCAAATTCCCCTTCCCATAAAGGAATGTGGCAAATTGTCCTCAAGACGGGAGGTCAGATATTCTAATATAACATCCAAGGTTACATTCCACATTTAGATCAAATTCTTCCCAGGTACACGACTATAAGTAGTTCCTATGAAGGCAACTGTACAGAGGAGCTGTACCCAAATCAATTCATCTTCTCCACTTGTCAATTTCCCTTGAAGTTGCCCTCACTAGCTCCTTTGTATTAGTGACAAGGACATCAATAATAGCATTGATATCATCCCTAGAAACACCAAGCAAAGCATTTTAGTTGAGAGCGGGAGAGAACTAAGCATAGCTAAAACTTTGACCCACTTCAAAGAAGTGAGCTTTCTTATATGAAGAATGTGATTTCTCCGGTGCAAAGATAAGGAAAAGTAATCAAAAAAATCCACCTACTGTGTAGGAAGTCTTTGTGAACGATGAAATAGCTGCCCCACATTAGAATATGTGTAATTCTCGTCACGAGCAATGCCCTTCCCGACACCATAACCAAATCCTATACCAACCCCACATCCAGCTCCAAATCCAAAGCCAACTTGTATGCCAGGAATCCCGGGACCAAATCCTGCACCTGATGAAAAAAATTATTTTGACATTCACCCATTACAAAGAGCACAGTTACAAAAATATGAAGTCATCAAACCTTATGATAAAACAAAACTGTCTAAAAGAAATACAACAGCCGTGCCAATTGTAAGGAGGAGATTACAAGGGCACTGAAATTACTAATTTGTAGTTCAAGGGTTGGTATTAAAGACCGACATAGGCATTTACATTACCAAAAAAAAATAATCAGGACATCACAACAAGCAGAGGAAAAGAACTTTAAAGGCATGGTAACTGGTGAGTGTACCAATGTGCCACATATATCCCTGTAGCCCCAAGACAATCACTAGCTATCTGCTCCAGGCCTCACCCCTTATTAAAGAGGCAAAGGCAGTTCAGGTTCACCCACTCAAGCCTATCATAACAGGACAATCCAAAGTCTGCAAAAGCGGAATTCCCTGATTTTGATGTAACAGCCTGCCACGGCGTCAAAGCTTCTCCTTCACAACAATCAACCTCACTGACTGGAGGTCGTTAGCTGCTCGTCCACTAGGGTGCAGTATCACCAACTTGATCAGCACCCCCTCCTATAAAAAGGAAGGCTCATGACAGGTATAGCATTCAATTCTTTATTTTTACATTCCTTATCATATACATCAGCCACTTAGTGACTCATCAAAAAGAAGCTAGAAATACCTTCCATATCATGTGCCTTGTTTCTATAGGACTACGGGTCGTTGAGAAGCTCTGCTCCAAAAATACCCCCAACAGTGATCAACGAAGCAAAAACAACAGTCTGATTAGTGCTTATTCTTGTGGGTTTGCTGATAACAATATAATGAAAAATTCCATCAGAACTGCACTCATGACAAAAACTAGTTAAACCTTTGCCTTTTCAAGCGACTTGTTCTTTGCAGGTCTACAGGTCTATGAGAAGTTCTTGTCCAAATATACCCTCAACAGTAACAAATGAATGAAAATAAGTCTGCTTATTGCTTATTCTTATGGATCTGGTGATAATAATTGTAAAAGGAATCCCAGTTGAACTTCCCGTAATGACTAAACTTATTTCATCTATGGCTTAGGCAAATACTACAGTAACTAATTTCTACAACCTCAGCCAGTTGGAATAAAGCACGATCTTCAATGAACAACAAAGACAGCTCGCTTGCACAAACGCGGCGGGGAAGGGGGGAGTCTAATAGGAACTCTGATAAATTGAGAACAAGGTCCTCCTTCCTCCTCGCGGTGACCTCGCCAGAATACTCACAAGCATCGTGTGGGATACAGAATAAAGTACATCAAAGAAAGTGGCATGGCAGTAGAGCGCTTAAACCCTTGGTAACCTGACTAAATTCACCTCAAATTGATCTAGGAAGGCAAAGGACATACTTAAATATTTAACTCAATTCAATATTTTAGGGTTCAAGACGTGCAAGAACGCCACAATCGCATTCAAACTGACAACGGAAATTTCTCGATACGAAGGCATTTCGGAGAAACTCAATGAGACAGCCAAATACGTTTTTTAAAAAAATAAAAATGA